ACACACGCACGCACGCACGCACGCACGCACGCACGCACGCACGCAGACGAACCTGAAACTTCTCGTGTGGGAAGTACGGCATGACGATGACTGTGTGGTCCCGGCGTCTCAGACACGTCTCCACCTTGATCACGTTGCTAACGCCTCTGCAATGAACCATCAACATATCAGTTAATATTATATCAGTTAATTTATGAGTTATATGTTAATTACAAAATTAACGATAAATCGTCATTTTTGGGAGTGTGTAGGTTTCAAGCTCATGTTGTTATTCTTACCAATGTACCGTCATTAAATTAACAAATGAAAGAAAGCTTACTGAGGCTGATAGGGTCTATGACCCCAGTGTACTATCGGAGGGTACCCTGGGTACGGTTCGATATATCGGAACCTCGGGGTACTATACGATATGTCGCTGCGTACCCTGCATTGTTCCACGAATCCACCGTACCCTGACTTTCAGCCAACTGATAATAATACAGTAATACCGTAATACATACACTCTGTCAAGTTACCACATCACATAGAAGAAACGTCAAAACATCGCAATCCAATAAAAATGTATGCTATGTTTGGCTATATTTTCCTTTTTCCTTTTTCATATATTCATATTTACATTTTCATATATTCATATTTTCATTTTCATATTCATTTTCATATCATTCAAATATTCATGATCTGAGAGAAATCTTTCCAAATGTACACCACCAACGGGCACAACAGTGCTATCAACCTGCATGTTGCATAATTACACGGTGATACATACAATTTCCAGAAGAAATGCGAATACTGCAAGGACCACAATGTATAAATAAGTGTGCTAGTCATGATGTTTGTGTATACATATATCCTTGGTAGTTATCCAATTTTATTGTAAAACTATGCTATGTATTGTTACGTATATATGATCACCTATGATATGACGGATAATTGCCTAAATAAAAATAAATAAAAAAATATAAATATAAATAAATAAAAAATAAAAAATACTGAAACGAATATTTTGCGGGAACGGACCGGAAACAAGGAACGGGAGCATAAAGTCAGGGTACGGTGGGACAATGCAGGGTACGCAGCGACATATCGAACCGTACCCAGGGTACTCTCCGATAGTACCCTGGGGGACATAGACCCTATCAGCCTTAGGGAGACATAACGGGGTATTTCTAACGAATTTTGGTCTTTTACAAAAAACTTAAGAACAGAGTTAACAAGTGCTCTTTGGGTTTGGGCGCTTCACGGAAGCTTATTTTTATCACGTAACTATATATATATATATAAGTACGTGCGTGTGCATACATATATGCGTGTGCGACTGTGCGCCAGTGGCCAGCGTATATGTACGCACACATAGACACCAGTCATGGTTATTCAGCATGCCAGATAACAGTGGGGAGATAACAGCTAGATGTTAGGGTACATTCTTGACCATATTCGGTATATTTATGAATTAAATAAATAAAAGTTTACATTTTTATTAAACATAATTGATCAAAATATATTTTACATGACGTTGATCGTAAAATCCTGCTGTGTAAAATATATTTGTGCAGTCGCGTAAGTGCACTTTCCTGACCACTAGATGGCAGTAGCATCGATGTATAAACAGGTCAGGTCAGTCTCGTGATCATTTCAAGCTTATTCAGTGTTGAGTTATAAATTTCTGTAATTTATATCTAATTTCTAGGGTTAACGCGAGATATTCTGTTCCTGTTTATGACATGCAGTTGTTTGAGACGACTCACAGGCGCAATATCCACATCAAGCAGTCGTAACCACGCTGCTTACGGGCTCTGTAGACTGTAAGCCCAAATACGGCGGGACCAACCGAGATACACTTTTCACATGTGATAGCCGTAGTTCGCATCCGAGACACAGTTGAACTGCAGTGCTTGACGCTCTCCCAGCATCACCTAACCGTCGTACACACGTCTAACGTGTCCCAGCGCCATGTACAAGCTCAAGAAGAAGGTGCTGCTGATGGGAAAGAGCGGCGCGGGAAAGACGAGCATGCGCTCGATAATCTTCGCCAACTACATCGCGCGCGACACGCGCCGCCTCGGCGCCACCATCGACGTCGAGCACTCGCACGTGCGCTTCCTCGGCAACCTCGTGCTCAACCTGTGGGACTGCGGCGGCCAGGAGGCGTTCATGGAGAACTACTTTGCGAGCCAGCGCGACAGCATCTTCCGCAACGTCGAGGTTCTCATCTACGTGTTCGACGTGGAAAGCCGCGAGCTCGAGCGCGACATGCACTACTACCAGTCGTGCCTCGAGGCGATCCTCCAGAACTCGCCCGACGCAAAGGTCTTCTGCCTCATTCACAAGATGGACCTTGTCCAGGAGGACCAGCGCGACGCCATCTTCGCTGACCGGGAGGAGGACCTGCAGCGGCTGTCGAAGCCGCTCGATTGCACGTGTTTCAAGACGTCGATTTGGGACGAGACGCTGTACAAGGCGTGGTCGTCGATCGTCTACTCTCTCATCCCCAACGTGCAGCAGCTGGAGGACAACCTGCAGAAGTTCGCAGAGGTCTCGGACGCTCCCACATCGTCGTCGTCGCTTTTGTTATTACTTTTGTTGTCGTCGCTTTTGTTGTCTTTTTTGAAATTTGAGAGATTTTGATCCAAGCTTACTTTGCTTACCCTTATGCTATCTTGCTATGCTCTATGATATCCTACTCTACTTCACAATTTTTTTAAACTTTGCTTTTAAGCTTTGCTTCATGTTATCTTGATGTGCTCTACGATATCCTATTCGTGAAATTTTGTACTCTGCTTGGCTTGAGTAGATAATTTACTTTGCTTTGTCATAGTTTAGTCTAATTTACTTAATTTCTGATCAGCATATCTTGTCATTCTTATAGTTGGAAAATTATTGCCTGTTGTTCTTGGTCCTTGTTAAATATTATGCTTATTGCATCTACTCGGACTACTGCTTTTAAAATTTATTGGTATTTATATCATTATATAGTTAAAGAATTGGTTATGCATCTTTTGGGGGTCATTCCAGTTTATACACATTATTTTGCCTGACCCCAAAACTTGGGCTTTGGTGATGACAGTGAAGTTGTGTGCGCTCTTGACACATATTCGTTCTCTCGTAGGTGATAGATGCAGATGAGGTGCTACTGTTTGAGAAAGCAACATTCCTGGTGATTTCGCACTGCCAGCGAAAGGAGCACAGAGATGTACACAGGTATGAAAACGGCACCTTCTCATCTCAGTCTCTTTCTATCATTTCTCATAGTGAATCCTACTTGGTCTTATTTTAAATCTCACGATAAGCAGTACAAAGCCTAAAGTCTTGTCGTGTGAGCTAATCCATAAGGTAAGCATGAATCCCTGTGAATTCTTCTAATGCTCGTCCAATTATATAAATTATTTATCGTCCTTATTGCAACTTTACTGTGAATTCCTTATGGGCAATTGACTGTATATCCTTCCATGATGCATCCTAACTGTATATCCCATGATGCACCTTACCCATGTATCCCCAAACTCCACGACAGATGGCGCTCTCGCTCATGGGCTCAATCTACCACTGCCACAAGTAGGTTTCGGTTACAATTTGTAACGCTTTTTTACTACAAGTTTTACAGCAGGCACTATATACTCGTATCCTATGTAATAAGATTTGGACTAATAAAAGTTGCAAAGATATTAAAAATCCGA